AGTGGAGTCGAAAATTTGGAGGTAAATAAAACACCGAAAACCCGGCAAATAAACAGGCGGGCGAATTTTTAGAGGGGTCGAAATTTTGGAGTTTTCACGGTACTAATTATTCCATTTCAATGAAACTTAGTACAGAGATGCTCTAGGACAATGTACAAACCTAATTAGTTTGGGGTAAAAATCTGTTCATATTAATTCCCTAATAAGCATAATAATTCATAATTTTTTGGTTCTAATCACATTTCAATTAAACTTGGAGACATAGATTTTCTGTTACATTGCGCAGACCTCATTAGTTTTACACTCAAATCTGGTCATATTAATTTTCTGATTTGCATAATTAGTTTTCAGCTAAGTAATTTCGAATTATATTTAATGTGTCTCCAATACTCTCAGCACATGGGAGTTCTTTCTAAGCTTTCTTTGATTTTATTTTAATCAGAATTGAAGTGGATTCAAAGTTTGTCAAGTTTTGAGTCTTGTTAGAAACTAGCATTATGTAGCCAAGTGTCAAAATGTGTATATATGTGTGTATGGTTGATTATGAAGCCAATGCACCTGGAACACACCAACTCTATGAAGCCACTAACACTGGCTTCACAATGTTTCATAAATTAAATTAATATTTAATCGAATTTAAGTTACCTTTCCCGGATACTAAGCCTAAGCTTCGCAAACATTTCTATGTTCAGTCACGGGATATTCAACTTTTATTTAATTAAAACACGATTCTACGTTGTATTGCATTGTAATTGAGTTTAATTAAACTCCAATTCAAACGCGCGCACATGCGTGCGTGCGTGCGTGCGTGTGTTGTCATGAGAATGCCGGGAACTAGAGAAGTTGGGGACAAATTGCATGAGCGAGAAATCAATTTCCCATTCTTGCACGGAAGCCAACTGAATGTGCTATAGCATGAAACTCTGCAATTATTCATTATTCAGATATCTTAATTATGCAAATATGAATTTTCACAAATCTTATCTACCGGGAAAATTATATTCATGGTGGGATTTGGCGTGTTTCTACCAGAAATTACCCCCTATAGTGGCCTGCAACTGGGCACCCTAAAAGAAAAATATCCTGTTCAAATCAGTTTGCACTGAGTTAACAAGGACTGGCATGTACTACTATTTTACTATCTGCCCTATCAAAAACTTTCACTTGCGCCATTAATATAGATGTTGGGGAGCTGTGTAGCCAATCAATTCAATGACAAAGTTTGGTTATAAAGTAATCTGGCCTGTTTATGTTGGTCTGTTTATTTCAATATGGCTGACACATTATTTTGGAGTGAGAAAATGTAAATTTAAATGTTCAAGCTTCTATATCAACATCTGCGATCTTGAATGCTCTCCATCAAGGCTGACCTGCACATTGAGTCTGCCCGGAGGTTTTACAGGTTGTTACTATTTCATACAGCTGTTATGTGTTACTTATATGCATCATGTTATGTGGTGCATTCATTATGTTATGTGCTACATGCATCATGTTATGTGTTACTTACATGCATCATGTTATGTGTTACTTACATGCATCATGTTATGCGTTACTTACATGCATCATGTTATGTGTTACTTACATGCATCATGTTATGTGGTGCATTCATTATGTTATGTGCTACATGCATCATGTTTTGTGGTGCATTCATTGTTATGTGCTACATGCATCATGTTTTGTGGTGCATTCATTGTTATGTGCTACATGCATCATGTTATGTGGGGCATTCATTATGTTATGTGCTACATGCATCATGTTATGTGTTACATGCATCATGTTTTGTGGTGCGTTAATCATGTTATGTGCTACATGCATCATGTTATGTGTTACATGCATCATGTTTTGTGGTGCGTTGATCATTATGTTGTTCATTCACCATATTACATTTCTGCGCCCCTTATATTATGTAGTGCAATCATCGTTTTATGTTGTACATTTGCCATGTCATGTTTGTTCTGTTTAGTAATCGTGTTATGTAGTGTATTCGCCATGTTATCTACTGCATTCGCAGTGGTGTGGTGCATTTAGCATGTTATGTGATGCATCCACCATGCTTTGTGCTTCGTTCACATATATTATGTAGCGCATTTGCAATATTACGTTTTGCATTCATCATGTCATGTTATGTGGTGTATTCACCCTACCATGTGGCGCGGCGACCTTGTGATTTGTGCTAACTACGCATTTTGTGGCCCTAAAATGTCCGTATAGAATATTTGTGTCGGGACTTGAGTTCAGTTTAGGTATTTAGGTACCAAAGTCAGCCAACACAATCAACAAAGCAAGGGTGTCTTTCATCGAGTTCTAGGACTCTAGCAAGGTTGCAATGAGAACCAAACTATGACTGTTCAAATCACTTGTATTACCAGTCATACGTTATGGATTTGATCGAGACACTGAAAATTCAATGAAAGTTACATACAAGAGGCTGGACACATTTCAAGTGAAATGTATGGGAAGGATACTCAAAATCAGATGGCTATTTTTGTTAAAGGCGGTGGTCGTCACGCAGTGCGTGTTCGAATTTCATGTAAATAAACAATGTATTTTACACGCGTTGTGTACGTCGCTGAGTTCGATATCGAACAGGACTCGGCGCGACGACTACCACCCTTTAAACGATGTTTTTTGTATTTCGATGTTTGTAGCTTGATGTCCGTCAGCAGATTCAGAATCTATGAAATGATATAACTCTATAATTCTAAATTTTTAAAAAAAAAATTAATAATTATATTAGCAAGTGTACATGAATCCTGCTACATAACCGTCAACGTTGATGGCGTTATTTAGTTAACTCAAATAATATTAATATCACTCGGGGAAATAGTATGGTAAATAAATAAAACAAATTGATCAAAATAAAATGTTGTTTACACGTGTTAGATAATTCGGTGGCGCCCAATCCTCTTCAGTAGTAATCCTAGTTTGTTTACATGAGTTATTCCCTGATCTGAAATTGTTAATTACTTTGAAACAAAGTTTGATTGAGGTTAAATACGATTTTTTTGTATATAAAGGTACGCTAAATCGAGTTTATATGAGATATCAGAGTATACTTGAAAATGAAATACCAGTTTTGTATTTGAATTTCAATCCACTTCTTCTGCTGTAACGCGCACCCTCTAGTGACGAAATGCTTCTGTGACGTCAAAATAATGCACACTGGTGATTGGATGACGTTCAATGTTTGGTTACGTAGTCTTTGGGTGTGAGGAAAATTTATCGAAAATACTATATTGTATATAACTATATAAAGCGATATATAGAAGATAATATTTGGTAGACGTTTCAGCAATGACGACTCTTCATCGATAACACAGAAGGAAATGTTTTTATTTACATAAAACAATATGGACGCCCCAGAAGACTTTACTTGTCCAATACGTCACAGACGCGCTACGTCGCTAGAGGGCACAACTAATAGAAAGAACAGGTATATTTCTTTTTCTTAAAGCGG